GAGGGGCGCCGTCACCTCTTTGGGAGAAAGGGACGCGGCCAGTGGCCGCTGGGCCTCCTGCACGTGACCCGAGGCGCCTCCTTCTCACTCCCGACCCCGCAGGCATCTCCGAGTCTGAGGATGGGTTGGGAGGGGCGGCCGGGGGCCGACCGGCTGAAGTGTCGCTGGAAGAGGCGCTCACGCGCCTTGCGGAGTTCCTCTCCGCCCACCTGGGGGCGGAAGAGAGTTGTGGGCACCCTCCCGACTGGGGCAAGGTGAGCTGCGCCGAGGAGGGGCCGGGTTCGCGTCGTCCTCTGCTCAGCATCCTCAGCCCTTTCTTGCTCCAGGGACCTCATCCTAATCGACCGGGCCCCGACCCCACCCCTAGAAGGCTCCTGTGGCCGGCCTGCCCGTCCACTCCCCCAGTGTCCCTCCCCTGGTCTTGTCGCCCGCAGTCCGTGGAGGCCCCCCCACTGTTGACCCTGACCAGTCAGCTCGTGGCCCTTCTGGCATGGATTCGGAGCCCCCGGGGGCGACAGGCCCTGCTCCAGGACACTCAGCCAGCCTCAGGGGTACAGCTCTCTGGTCCAGATGGTGCGTAAGGTGTACTGAGTTGAGTAGAGGGAGCAGAGGTCCCCCCACCCTTCATCCCGCCCCTCCGTAACCCGAGCGCCTTAGAGGCCAGAGTCCCAAGGCCTGCCCTCGGGTGCCTTCCCCTCCTCAACCCTAACAGAGGCCTCTTAGACCCTAACTGGTCCACCTCACCCCAGGGCCCCCATTCCAAGAAGAAAGTCCTTCCCACCCCAGCCCAGCCCCCCGGGAGACACCGAGGGGTGAGGCTCAGGGGCAGCAGTGCCCGCCGTTGGAGGAGGAGCAGAGGGCTTGGCATCGGCTGGAGCTGCTCATCCTGGGGCAGGTGAGAGCTCAGGGGCCTGCAGGGACAGGGGGCGGGGGATTGGCAGGGGCCGGCTAAGGAATTGCTCCACTTCCACTTCGTCCTCCACCTGCCCCCACAGTTGGAAGAGCTGAAGCAACAGCTGGAACAGCAGGAGGAGGAGCTCGGGCGGCTGCGCCTGGGTGTGGTGAGGCTGCGGCATGTGCCAGGGTGCGGGGCGCGGCGCGGGAGCTAGTCCAGGTGAGGCGCTGAGGGCGTCCCTTTCCGCCAGGGGGCGACAGACTCCGAGAAGAGAGTGCAGCATCTGACTCTGGAGAACGAGGCCCTGAAACAGAGCCTGAGCCTGATGCAGGAGCTTCTACTCCGTTGGGGGCCGGGGCCCTCCTCCAGGGACCTCCAGGTACCCTGATTCTCCCAGGAGAGCAATGACCTCAAGAATGGGCCCCGGGGGTGCAGTTGGGAGGTGTGGGTTCACACCGACTTGACCCGCCCCTGTGGGAAGTGGGGGCTCTGGGATGGCTAACCCCCAGGTTCCTCCCAGCCCCAGGCCGCCTGGATCCTCCCCGACCAGCAGGAGGAAACGGAGGCCCTGGTGGAGCTCCAGAGGCGGCTCCAGGAGGCTCAGGCCACCACAGAGGCCCTCCGCATCCAGGTGGGCTTGGAACCCAGGGGCTAGAAGGGCTGGGGCATGGGGAGGTGGGGGAGGGCCCAGCAGGTGCCTGTTTCCTCGGTGACAAGAGTGGGTCGGGTGGGGCAGCTGGGGGTCCAGGAGGTCCAGCTGCAGGGCCTCTGGGGGGCACTTGGGCAGCTCCAGCAGGAGACAGAGCAGAATTGCAGGCAGGAGCTGCAGCAGGTGCACGAACAACTAGCAGGTAAGGGTTTGGCAGGGGCGGGTGCAGGGGGTGGGGAGAGGTGCTGGGCCTGTCTTCCAATAGCCTTGTCCCACCAGGACTCCGGGCCCGCATGGCCAGCCTGCGTCAGGGATGTGGGGACCTCCGTGGGCTGGTCAGCACCTTCACCCAGAGCTGCCAGGGCTCCCTGAGTGAGGCGCGTGGCCAGGTCAGACCCCTTTCCTCTTGGCACCAGTCTCTAAACCAGCCCTTTCCCTGTTCTCCCCTGGGGACTCTACCAAGGGGTGGGGGCCAGTTCTATGTGTGGAGGAGGCTTTGAAACTGGAGCAGCTTGTTTGTGACCCTGGGCCCACCTTACTCCTGGGCCTGTGCCCTGATCTGCGCGTGAGGTGCTAGCCAACCCTGGAAAGGTTGCCATGAAGCTTGGAGATGGGTGGGTATGATGTCCTCAAATTTAGAGCTCTCAGATTCCATCCTGGGTCTGGAAAAATCTCCCATGCTTGCAGCTTGTGGACAGCCACTTTGGCCAGTCTACACCACTGTGTGCTCTGCCTCAGCTCCTGCCTCATGTCCCCTCCCTTCAGGTGTCCTGGGCCCTGGGGGCAATGTTGGCTGAAGGCGATGAGATGCAGCGCCCTGAGGAGCAGCAGGGGCCTCCAATGAGGGGCCCAGGGCGGCTGCTGGAGCTCAAAGGTAAGTAAGAGGAGCTGAGCTGGGGGGTGGAGGACGGCGGGGCTGGGAGAGAACCAGCTGACCTGAAGTCCACCCCAGGGAATATCCGAGTGCTGTGCAGGCTGCGGCCCGGGCCATCCTGCAGCCTGGTGAGCACAGAGCCCGGCCCCCGAGGCGTCGTCACCACGTGCTACCGAGGGCGCCAGCGCCGCTTCCGCCTGGACTGGGTCTTCCCTCCAGATGCCAGCCAGGAGGAGGTGACCCCATGCTTTGCCTCTGCCCTAACCCCTCCTCAGAATCCCCAGAGTTCAGGGAGGGTCCTGTTTCTCTCCTCTGCCCATCCTAAGGCGGCCAAGGCAGGGGGCAGTGGATTTGGGAGGGGAGCCGCCAGCCCGGCTGGGGTCTTCATCCTCCAGGGAGCTCTGCCAGCCCACGATTAGCAGCCCCTGGTTTAGATGAGAAGGACCACAGTTGGCTTGGGGTCCAGTTGGCTGTTCAAGCACAGCTGGCTGCAGAGCGTGCCTGGGACCCCACTGGGGGAACTCCTGTTGCCTCTGCCTCCAGAGAGGCACTGGCTGGCCCTCCCCCAGGGTCTGGGGGTCCACCTGCCATCCCAGCTGATGGCTCATGGATAGGGAGCGTGGAGCTTTGCACGCTCAGGCCACCCAGGACCACATTCCTACCCTTTGCTACCTGCCAGACCCATGTGGGAAAGGGGAGGCCTAGGAGTCTGCCAGTCCCATGTGGGCTCAAACCCTAGACCACTGCCAACAACGTGCCATCTCTTGGACACAGACTTTGCCCCTGGGGTTTTCTGCAGATGAAGAGAAGTTCAGAGTGGGTGGGGCTGGCAGATCTGGCAGGGACCCAGGGACCCTCTCACCACTGGCCCCCATGGGCCCCCCAGGGATGGGAGTGACAGCCAGTAACAGGTGCCTCACACAGACTCTCCATGTCGCACAGAGCCTTGCTCTCCATGCACTTTTCTTGTTCACTCTGCACACCCCCGACTGCAACTGTTCCTCTCACTGCAGCTCCTACTACCCCCAGGCTATGGTACACCTTGCCCAGTGCTTTCCAACTCAGTGTCCAAACCAGAGGCAGTGTCCACAGTCCACCCCAGTGCCTCCTTCCTCCAGGGCACTCTACAGCTGAGTCAAGGAGCCCAGACTAGCTTCCAGGAGGATGCAGGCCACAGCCCTGTTCCCTATGCCCCAAGCTGTTCGGGTGGCTGTCACCGGGGCCCTCCTCGACGTGCATTTGGAGGCTAGGAACCAGCCGTTTAAAGGCTGTGAGTGGGCTGACTCAGCTCTGATCACACCAGGTCTGAGCAGGCAGCCACACCAACACCCAGGCTCCTGAACCATGGCCCCCTGGCCCCCTAGTGTGCTTAGGGCTCTGAGCCCTGCCTAGGCGGGGTTCACTGCCTGACCAATCCCATCACACCTTGCCTGGCAGATTGACTTTTGTCTCAGATATCAGGCAAATGCCATCTTCTTGGTGAAGCCTGTCCAGGGGCGTCCACAACCCCCAGGCCTTGCCTCTCACTGCACCAGCACTCTCGCATGGATCGATGCCTCTCCCACTAGTCCTCCGCAGGGGGCTGGCTCCTAGCTGCCCTGCACACCACCCTTGTGCCTTCTGCCCAGGTCTTCCGAGAGCTCCAGCCAGCTGTGCTGTCCTGCCTCCAAGGGTACAGCATCTGCATTTTCACCTACGGTCAGACGGGGACTGGCAAGACATACAGCATGGAGGTGGGGTGGCATCCCTCCCTGAGGAGGGTGCAGGGCAGGCACGGGTGGTACATGCACAAGAATGCACCCTCCCTCCACAGGGCCCGCCCGATGACCCCGGCATAGCTCCAAGGGCGCTGCAGTCCCTGTTTGAGGAGATGGGAGCCAGAGGCCAGCACCGAGTGACCCTCAGCATGGTGGAGATCTATAACGAGGCTGTCAGGTCAGGCATACCCCCTCATGCCCAGGCACCCCTCTCCAAGTCTCCCTCAGAGTTTGAGAACCAATCCCGCCTCCCTCCCCCACCCCCCCGCCCACCAGGGACCTCCTGGCCCCAGGGCCTCCCGAGCGCCTGGCCGTGCGGCAGGGCCCAGCAGGGCAGGGGGGAATCCAGGTGGCTGGCCTCACCCACTGGGACGTGCCCAACCTGGAGACTTTGCACCAGGTAAGGCCCCCTCCCGGTCCTGCCCGTGGGGGTGGGTACCCTGCACAGGTCAGCCTGGTCGCTCCACCCTCCAGATGCTGAGCCTGGGGAGGAGCAACAGGGCCACCGCGGCCACAGCAATGAACCAGCACAGTTCCCGTTCCCACGCCTTGGTCACGCTGACGTTGCGCGCGGCCGCACCGCCGCTCGGTCCGGGCACCACAGGTACCCCCGCCGCGCCTGCGCCGCCGGGCCCACGCCTCACCCGGCCCGGCGTCCCTACCAGCCCCGCGTGCCTCGTCCCTACAGGCACGCTGCACCTGGTGGACCTGGCGGGGTCCGAGCGCGCCTGGAAGCCGGGGTCGGCCGACGCGGCCCCCGGAGACCAGGCCCGGGCTCAGCGGCTGCGGGAGGCGCGGACCATCAACCGCTCGCTGCTGGCGCTGGGGAGCGTCATGGCCGCGCTGCGCGCCCGCCGGCCCCACGTGCCCTTCCGCGACTCGCAGCTCACGCGCCTGCTGCAGCCCGCGCTCGGTCCCGGCGCCACCGCCGTGCTGCTGCTGCAGGTGGGCGGCCCGGCTTGATAGCGTGGGGTTGGTATGGCGGGGCCCTCCCTTCGGGCCTGCCCACCAGCGCTGCTGCCCCGCAGATCTCCACGCGGCCCGGGGACCTCGGGGAGACCGTGTGCTCGCTCAAGTTCGCCGAGCGGGTGGGCCGAGTGGAACTGGGGCCAGCCCGGCGCCGCAGAGTGCCGCGATCCGGGACGCCCTCCTCCCTCAGCACCGACACCCAGCTCACCGAGACCCCAGGCACTCCCACGCCGCCCCCCCGCAGCCCTCCAAGCCCCCGGCCCGACAGCGGTGCGCGCTCGCAGGGCCCGCCCCCGCAGCCCCGAGCATGAAGCCTGGACTTGCGCTTCTGCAGGCAGAGGCGGCACAATGCTCTTCGCACCCGTCTTTTGGGGTGCAACCCCCTTGACTTCTGGGAGCCCCTCCCCCCAGGAGGAGTGTTTAACCTAGAGGAAAGACGCCCGCCCGCCCCCCAGTCGGCCAGTCTTTCAGCTCCCATCTTATCACCATTTGCTGTTATCCAGAGTCACAGCAGGGCGTCCCTGAGCCACAGCAGCCCGAGCCGGCCAGAGCCCACCAAGCGGTGGCCAAAATCACCATCCCTGCCCCCAAAACCCAGACTTCCCGTTAAAATGTTGTAAGTTCTTTTATTGTTATCACGTCCCACCCCCACCGAGCCCACAACAGGCCAGGCTCCGAACCTTCCCCCTCCCTGCGAAGGTGCTACCTCCTTCAGAGAAAGCTGAGGCAGGGTGCTGGCCTGAGCGGTCCCTGGGCTCTCCCTCCCCCAGCCCAGAGCCAGGGAAGGGAGGTGACAGATGGTGATTGATGGGTGGATGGACAGACGGACTGAGGGCCGAGAGAAGATGGGACAGGACAGGGCTGCGCCAGGACAAGCCCGCCGTTCCTTTCAGCCTTGCGCCTTGGGGGTGGGGAAAGGCATGACAGACCACCAGGGCCAGTCAGATCTGGGCCCAGCTTGGCTGCCACCCTTTTGGGGGCAGGGGGTGTCATCCAATAAATGTGGACTCAACATGGCTGTCGCTGGTGACTTGAGGCTGCAGACTCCCTCTTACAAAGCAGGACCAGGGAGCGCCTCACAGGCCATACCAGGAGAGCAGCCAGCCTGGGGCTGGGGCAGCCAGGTCCCGTGGGTGGCTCACCCATACATCGTAGATGCTCTTGTTCGGAGGCACGCCCTGGAACAGGGCGTCGAGATCCCAGAGCAGCCCAGGGGACCCTGGGACTTCAGGGGCCACCCCCCAGTAGGCTGGGCTGGTGGCGGGTGGGCACCCAGGGCAGGAGGTGGTTGGTAGGGGGGCCAAGGGCATGACCACATTGGGGGTATAGATGGGCAAGTAGGAAGTGGGCAGTTGCCCCCAAAGTGGGGCCCTGTGTCCCCCATCAGACAGTCCTCCTCAGGTGTCTGGGGTGCTCGGCAGTAGTTGGAGAGGCCAGGCCCTGGGCTCTGGAGAGAGCTGACTGGTCCCCCCCTGGGATGTCTCCCCCTCACCCCTTGTGGGCCCAGGGAGTGAGCAGAAGGGCCACAGGGGTCTCTCAGAGGGCCCAGGTGGCGTGGGAACCCTCTCTTGCCCGCCACACCCCGTGCTGCCTGGAGCTGAACTTTTCCTTGGAGGCAGCTGGGGCCAGTGTGACCCCTCCCCTGGGTCTCCCAGCAGGGACTTGATACTGAAGCCCTCATGGGGTGCTGGTGGGGGGCTGGGAGGCTGGTAGGGCCGGCCCTGTAGGACATAGGGGCCCAGGTCCTTGGCGAAGGTCCCTCGAGCGCCCCTGCTCAGCCAGCGCCGACACAGAGCCGTGTTCTGCAGCCGCAGGGCCTCAGCCGGGATCAGGCTCACATCCACCACCCAGAAGTTGCCCTTGGCTTGGGGCTTCGAAGGGTCCTTGGGCACCTGGTGTAAGGGAGAGGCAGGCTTGGGTGGGACCACTCACCCTGCTGCCCAGCACTGCCACCCAGCCCTGCCCCTGTCAGGCTGGCTCAGACCTTTCGGAAACATGGGTTGGAGGAGAGGTTGTGTCGGATGGAGTCCTTCCAGCCCTCGTAGTCGTCCCTGAAGAAGGGGAACACAGCCTGGACCTGCCGGATGATCTGG